TCTTTGTGGAGCATTTGAAGACTTCTTTGTAAAAACAGTAAATCTTCACCTCAAATGCATGAAAGGGTCAAAGGTAATTATTCCCTAAGAAGGACTGCTTTCAAGTAAGCAAATGATTTCTCTTTTGATTTGTATGAGCTGGGTGAGCCTGAGTTCTGCACCATGGGCATTTTTTCTCCTTAGAGAGAGAGGCTTAATGCCTTCTGGCAGGGATTTCCCTTTATATAAAAAATGCCCAGAGGCTGTAATGTACTTCCTTCTGGTCTTTCAGTTTAGTAGGATTCTTGGCCAGGTCCAGAGTCAAAAAGCTCCAGGTGGGTGTCTACCTGTTGTGCAGCCTAACACAGGCAAGATATTTTTGGCTTAGAATGCACATCCGTCTAACATTCCTTAAAAGCATGAGACGCTCTCCCAAGATTTTGGACTAACAGAGGCTGGAAAGAGGCAAATGGAAATGTGAGATTCATCATCTTTGCCAGTAACAACAGGAGATGATAACATGAGTAAGAGCCAATTCTGACATCATATTTTTCCTCTGTAGCTGAATAACCATGGAGGATTAAATGTATATAAAAAGTTTTTAGAATGGAAAATTTATGTGGATACTGCTCTGTCCTCCTCCTAAATGAAAGCATGTGCGTATACTGTTGTGTTAATATTGCAGTTTTGCCTAAATAGTTAAAAGTGCTTTTCATTTTTACAAAGTAATAAGCATCTTGTGGCATCTTTACTATCAGATTCATAATGGCCTAAGCTTTTGTGGACCACTTCAAGCCATGAATGCTGTTGCCCCGGTAGGTTTTAAACAGCTACCCTGAGAGAATCATTCTTAAAGTGGCATGTTTGCAGTGAACTTACATGACCTAGCATGACAGTCATATGTCCTATAGCAGGGGTAGGCAACCTTTTCCCTTTAAGGGCTGAGGGACTTCAGCTCCCAGAATCCCAGGAGCTATTGGCCAACATGGGACTATTGGCCAACATGGCTGAGGCTTCTGGGAGCTGAAGTCCCTCGGCCCTTAAAGGGGACAGGTTGCCTACCCCTGTCCTATAGTGATGACATAGCTGAGCTGTACTTAATTACAATGTAATCAACGTTCTGTATAGCAGTACCAGCACTTGTATTTGATCGGATCTAGGAGTTCATCCTTTCCTGTTTGTTATTTGTTATTAGAAACATCTAAACCGTTTATCTTTGTCTCACCTTTAACTTTATGGGTCATCGTCTTTGTTTTTGTTGTGGACTTTGCTCCTCTGTTTGTTTGTTTTTTGGTGTTGTTTTTGTTTTAAATCCTTAAGGATAATGCTCAGTTCCACAATAATTTGAAATTGGACTTGAAATAATGGGAAATAATAGGATAGGATCAATAGTGCAATTACAAGACAAATCTGATCCCTGTGAAGAGAAGATTAAAATCTGTTCTGGAGACATATTTGGGGTCCCAATGCCTTCCTCATATTTGAAGCTAGTCTTACAAGTACCAGAGGTTTATATTCCAAGTAAAAGAAATATGAACTTGAATGACATTTCTAATTCTCCTTTAATGGGTATCACCATTTAAATTGCTGCAGAGTCTGCTCTAAATTTAGAAGACACTTTTTAAAGAAAGCAGGATTAGCCCACTTTGAAACAAATCTGTTTTGTGTAATAGTGTCCATCAGGTTCTGCCTGTGTTGTCTGTAGCATTTTCTCCTCTCCAAGTGAAGTATTGAAATTAACATGCAGGCCCCAAGCCACAACTGAGCAGGTTGTTGCATATAATTGCTAACATGCTGGCCTAAAAAGTATGCTCTGAATTTAGAGAGCAGATATATATACATGTTCCCTTTTCTGCTGCAGGTTGGATAGGAAGGGATATTTTGTTGTTGGCATTCATAAGAATCACATGTACATTAAAATACCCATGGCTATTCTCTGCACACCTGCTCTGCACTACATATGCACAGATCAGATCAGGCAATCAGTCCTTTCTACCTGCTTATACTTGCTTAGGTCTGTATGTGTATATGAGATGTTCACATGTAATCTTCTTTCATAGATACTTAAGGTGTCTCCAGGATCAGGGCAATACTGAATAATAAAGCATCCCTGAATAATGAAGCATCATTGAAACTGAAGTTGGCAAATGAAGCAACTAACTATGTGACACTTAAAATTAAAAGCACATAAAAAAATCGAGAAGCACTATGTCACTTTGGAAGGGGGCTCTGTCTCATATGGAGTCTTCTTCTGGGCAGTGTAAACTTTGTGAGGTTGTTGAATTGATTGGCATTTAATGCACAATGTGAAGGGTTTTCTTTGTTCTCAATCAGCATTGGGCTATGTGTGGCAGCTCCTGGCCATCCCTAAAAAGTGCCGCTGAAATTCAGTGGCAAACTACAAAAAGCCAATAAAACAAGCATTTTTTATTTCTTTTTCTAGATTTGACATGAATTAGGAAAATCTCTTTGAAACATGAAT